CGCATTCATCTATAATATGCAACCTAAAAATTATTCTGAAAGTGTGTGAAAATGCTTCTACTGACGCATAACACTAAACCCTTGTTTGGTAATCAAACACTATAAATTGTAGATCTCCATTTTCATTACGGCCAGTATTTCCTACTCTTATTCAAGCTGTAATTGATGATATTTTTCAAAATTTTCTATCATTACGATTCTAAAAGAATTAATGGAGAATGTGAAATTATGACAAATTGTTCTTGTAACCTGCTTACATTATTTGCATTCAACGACTACAAAAACACAGGATTTGGCGATGTTTAATACTTGCAAAAGTGACAAGAATCGACAACGTAGTTTTCTGTTTTTTCTTGCTAGCCAACAAGAGATATTTAAATATAAATATCTTCTTTGGAGGCAAATGACTACAATTACAAAATCTTACTGAATTATTAAAATATATTGTAATCATTTTTAATGAAACCTCACACACATACAATACATCATTCTTGAGATGAGCATCGAAAATACAAAGGCGGCATCGTTCTTCCTACGTACAATTCGGACGTTATTAGCAGCGGAAAAGAAGTAGCGACTATATCATGGCAAATAACGACTACAGTCAGACAGCATAACGGAGTTGGAGAAAGATAGAATTTGTGCATAAGTGAAAATTTACTAATCGACTGGGAGACCATTTGTTGAATAAGGGGAACGTGCTCATAGCCGTATGTAGGCATGAGAATTTAATTAAAAATATACATCATGGATAGTAGATACCTGTCAATGCTGGAATATAACCCGGATTATAACGATTGGTTTCATATTTTATCCAACGGATGATTGTGCTAACTCATGACAATCTTTGTAGCAGGTATGGATATCATCTTAATATTATTGTATTAATATTATTATTATAACGCACGCACGCACACACACATATATATATATTTTTGCTACCCATACGGATTACCTAAATTTGCATAAACTATATATATATATATATATATATATATATATATATATATATATCACTGCTTTCAATTTATCTTGAATTAATGAGTCTGAAGTTGCCTGATGTGTAAATAACAAGAAAAACGTGGGTCAAACGGTTGGAAACAATGCAAACTAATTTTACGGTGTATGGTGAATAATTACTGCTTCCGATAGTTCATCCAGTCTTTCTGAAAATCCGCCCGAAATTCCTAAACGGAAATATCCGAAGGAAGTGCATCCTTGTGACTAAAAATAATGCAATGCAAATTTGAAATATTTACGTTTGGCACATGACCACAAAATAAGAGTTCATAGAATGAATTGTCTCATTTGAGAAGGATTTGCTAACATTTTCTGACGCCATATTTCGTAAAATATACGATAGATTTCAATCCATATATGTGATCGACTTTTATCACAAGCTCAAATGAAGAAATATTTTCTGTTTTACTCTTTGTTAGTTTTTCCTTCGTAGACTCCTCCTTTCTTCTCTTTCATTCTCCGTTTGACTTTGTCGTCAATCGACCATCTTAGCAACAGGCAAATTCCCTTTGTGAAATTCAAGCTGAATCACAGATTCTCCAGGCAGCAGACAAACAGGCTGACGCGAGAGAAAATATACTTAGCTTTTTTCGAACTTCATTGGGTTCTTATTCCAGTCATTAAAAATATCTCCAATAAAAGCTAAAGTTTTCATCTAGTTGTTTAAAGGTTGTGAGCTCGATCCTTGCGCAGGTTAATGCAGCTTATTTTCTTTTTTTTTTTCTTTTCGATGACATGATATCACAAGATTTGAACGTTAATCAAATATATATTTTATAAACTACACCCGGAAGCAAGGCCTTTCATCGGGAGATTGGATATTTTGATGATCATGGAAGCATCTCTTAATTGCAGTTGCTCCTAGATCAAAATTGACCCGGGGTGTTTTCATCTTTTAGGATACCATCTATCGACATATAGTGAACAACAACAACAAAAAAAAAACACTATGAAAGTATTAACATACAAGTTATAATTTTTATATCAAATAAATTATTAACAATACCTATTCATAGTACATATTTAGTTGAAGTAATACAATTGTGTAGAACATATTGAGATTTCTGTCTTAAATAACCCATAATGGTGTTGATATGCCGCTTAACACAATCAACCAACAAACCACCACATAACAATATTTTTTTGTATTTCTTTAAAGTTACGCGAATATTTAACAATGCAACTTTGAACATTTCACGGATATTTTATAGTGACATGACTTTTAAATAACTTATTTAATCATTAACCTAACAATTATGATTCATCAGATAATTTAAATAGCAAACCCATAAAATTTTCATGGTACCACTAATTACTGTATAACAATATTAAGAATATTAGTAGATATATTCACACATATTGTTTGAGCGACTATGAACGATACATTAGGAAGATTAAATCTAAATTCCTCAATCTCATTTTATAGGAGGAGATATTTCTTTTTTTCTGAATAACATTAAGATCTGTAGAGTATCTTAAAAATAGAAGATCGTTATCAAAGCAAATTTACAAGCCCATGTTTTGTTTTGCCCACTCAATATTTTCTCGACAAATGAATGTAAGTAGGAAATAAAAACGTTTTTCATATTACTACATACCACATAACTGTTCAACTATAATAAGCACTTGAACTCGAGTGCCTTTTAAACCAGAGAACAAAACATTAACGTAATTTTGCCGTCTTCCTCATGGTAATTTGCTGCATCATTTCCAAAAAAATATCATTATTTTTTTACATTATTTAGAAATTAACTAGATAAAAATTTAAAAAATTTTAAGCTCCGTCTGCTGTATCCCTCCAGGACGCGAGCGTTTAGGCTCTATCTGCTGTATCCCTCCAGGACGCGAGCGGTTAGGCTCTATCTGCTGTATCCCTCCAGGACGCGAGCGGTTAGGCTCTATCTGCTGTATCCCTCCAGGACGCGAGCGGTTAGACCATCTGCTACCTCCCTCCAGGACGCTAGCGGTCATGGCTCTATCTGCTGTATCCTCCAGGACGCGAGCGGTTAGGCTCTATCTCCCCTCCAGGACGCGAGCGGTTAGGCTCTATCTGCTGTATCCCTCCAGGACCAGGATCGCTGAGGACGCGAGCGGTTAGGCTCTATCCCTCCAGGACGCGAGCGGTTAGGCTCATCCCTCCAGGACGCGAGCGGTTAGGGTTCTATCTGCTGTATCCCTCCAGGACGCGGTTAGGCTCTATCTGCTGTATCCTCCAGGACCATCTTAGGCTACCTCCCTCCAGGACGCGAGCGGTTGAGCGGTCTGCTGGCTCCAGGACGCGAGCGGTATCTGCTGTAGGTCATGGCTCTCCACAAATCCCCCTCCTTTTAACTTTTAGTAAGGCGTGTCTTTTTGATGTCCCTCCTAATCCTTGTTCTTCCAAACATTTACGCGCACAATTTATTTGTTTATATTCGTTATTCTCTGCTTTCCTCTGTCTCTTTCGCCTTCTATATCCTGTGAGAGTCAATTTATTCATGTTTTCCTTCGACATTTCTGCCTTACAAATTTAATTCATTGCTTTCTGTTAATAAGCATAGAATATTTTTGTTTCTATTTATTTAAAACTTTGTTTTGCTCACGTGTTCAGTCCATGGATTTCTCAGCATCCTTTTGTAGAAATACATTTCTATAGCTTCAAGACTTCTTCCTCTACGAGGAGATTGTCCAACATTCACTGCCATATAGGAGGATCCTTATTACGTAACATTTCAATACTATTTTCTTTTAAATTACACTGACTGTTTTTCAAGAGATTTTTTTTTTTACATATTTTCAGAAATTAAATGTACCAATTATACACAAAATTTCTATATAACTCATTATCGGTTTTGGATTAAATATTTATGCATTTTAATACTATACAGGTCTTTAGACAATATTTATTTAACTAAATTCTGAAACACTCTTTTTCGATGCAATATTTTTAGGGCGGTAAGATATTTATCACGTACTTTATCCAACATAATGTGGATTGATTTTAAATGCCATTATTTTATTTTGCTATGTGTTAGATATTCATGAGCAACCAGAAGTATCTGTTAGAGTTACATACAATATGAGCAAGTGTTAAATTCTGGAAGAAAAATGAAGGGTATTCGTCGCAACGAAGTGAATATAATAAATAATCTAAAGCAAAGAAAAGTATTAAACCTAGAACATTTTGTTAGAAAAATAGAAGAATGTACTGAACTCTTAAGTAATATCAGTAATCCTATATGAAAGTGAATGCTGGACGATCTTTCCAGAGAAACTGAGGTAATCAAAATGTGGTTCTAAGAAAGGATGCTGTTAACAGCATGGACTGAGCATATGAAGAATAACGTTGTTTGAGTGAAAATGGATAATCTTACATAGAACTTTAAGTCCATCAATATTCCGTTCGAATCTCTGAAAAATAACTATGGACAATCCTGGATATATCCACGGCACCACCTTCACTACATATATCTGAAAGAATTATTCGTTTCTCTGTAATTGAAGATAAATATAAATCACCATTGTCTGACAATAAAATAACCTGTCCAGATTTTGACACCTGCAGAATTTGAATTTCAGATGTAGCGCAAATATAATATTTAAATCATCGTATTTAGTTCCTTTGATCCATATATTTCGAAATGGATGAAAAAGTTTTTATGTATTTTAATGTTTCCAAATACAAAACAACTTCGGTTCACTAACGTCTCACATGTCGAACAAATAGGTTTTCGAAGGGTAAGTTTGAGATAAAAATGTCTCGATTATCTAACAAAAGTTTGGCTCTCGAAAAACTTTGGCGAACGGAGTGAACTCGAACGGAATAATTTCTGAGTCGACCGCCATGTTGTAAACATTCGTGTGTTGCGCCGTTCTTTACTTTTCCAATTTTATTGTATTGTGTTTTGATTTTTTCCTCTTCATTGATTCCTATTGGAAAAAAAGTTTTGGTTTACGAACACCTCAGGAACGAATTAAATTTCTGAACCGAGGTTCGACTCTAGCATCTGGAGTTAAAAGTATTAGATCATCCATATTCGCTAAAGTGCAATGTGTTTTTCGTCAACGATCGTAATATATGTAACCAATATCTAACCAATATTGAGTAGATATTAGATAATTCCACTAACCACACATATGTCGTATCAGACGCTAATATTCTGAAGAAAAACGCTTACATGAAGTAAATGCAGTTTGTCAATATAATAGTACATGCTGAATAATTATCCATTGCAAGTCTTCAACAATTTCCGAAACCTTAAGTATACCATATATTTGATGTGATCGCATGTTAGTGTTTCTCACTTTCCCGCGGTTGCGTTGGTATTATTGGACAAATAACGCTTACGAGTGCATTATGCATAAACAATAATATCAATTTTATGTGTTTCTTTATAAAAAACATTCTTAAACGTCATATACTAAAAGTATCTGAGGAAGCTTGTATTAAAATATATTGTAGGAACTACTTTTAGACAGCTCTTCATATTTTGAAGTTATGCCGAAGTGAGCGAACTACGAATTGAACCATGGCATTTGGTGAAGTTTGACCAGTCGGTAGTCAACTCATTAGAAGCCGTTATTGTATGTTCACGACTTGATTCTACAGATTACCTCTTTAAAAATATTTTCCATAGAATAGCATTCAATAATTATATCGGTTTTTATATGAACATTTCATAATACCTACTTTTATGTAGATTTTTTCCGACTGCAAATTAAAAGAAATTTAGAAAAATCATTGCTTTGTACTTCGGAGAAATAATGTCATGTACAGCATAGAAGCTGAGGGAGAGTTTTTAGTGCAGTAACTTTCACATTCAACGAAAAGAGAATTTGACGTGATCCAATCCTTTTAACCTTGCAATATTGAGATACATCAGTCTCTAACATATGCGGATAAAACTTAAGCGGAAGTTCTCTTAGCACATGTAAAAGAAAAGGTGCCCATTCAGACATTAGGCAAGTCCATTTTAAGAAACAACGGATATATATATATATATATATATATATATATATATATATATATATATATATATATATATATATATGGAATAGGTTATAGTTGTTCCAACGAGAGAAAAGTGTTTTGGTCGCTAACATACAAAAAGAGAATGTCTCATATCGAGAATATTTAACATCGAAAAAAGAGAGAAAGAAATTAATTACTTTTAATAATATGTAGAAATGTCTACTCTTTGCCTGATGAGTGGTCGCGAGACCGGAAACTCGTGTAGCAAAATTATGGAAAATAAAGTATAATATTTAAAAAAATATATACATTACAACCAAAAACATTTGCGGTTTCTCTCTTGTTTTTAAATATATATATATATATATATATATTATGGGGCATCACTGTTGGATGTCTGGAATTGACTACGCTATAAATTATTGAGTCTAGACAAAGGAGATGGTTGTCCGCACATGCTCATTGGATTTCATGAACTTCCACTTTCACATAACTTTATTTTCTCATATGACAGAACTTGATATAAATTACATATTCAGTGAAATTCTGCCAAGATTTAAGTATATGAGGTAGTGCATTGCATAATGAATTTCTGATTAAAAATGGTTTTGAACAAATTTTACCAGTATATGTTGACGAAGATCATAACTCTTTGAAATTTATATAAATAGCTTTTTTTAAATCATTTTAATCCAAACAAGGCAATAAAGCCACTAAGCCCCAAAAAATTACTGACTGTAAAAGAATAAGAAAAAATTATTAAGAGCGAGAAGAATAAAAAAAGAGTAATCAATTAGACAAAACAGCTGGTAGACTAAAAGTGTACCAGGATAGTTAAGCGATCAATCGTCAAGCTGATTTATTTATTGTAAATAAACGTGTCTTTTCGTCTCACATTTGTTGTGTATACTTCTCATTTGTTGTGTTTACATCTTGGTCATCCCATGTTCTTTTCACCCGAACTTCTTATAATTTCGACTTTATGAGCTATGCGAAGTTTTTTTTTTGTTTTTTTTTTTTAATTTTTAGTTTGCCTTTTTATATAATATTGTATAATTTTATCTTTTATAATCCTGGGGTATATGGATATTTATACTAACCAAGTATTGCAACATATACGGTTGATGCACGGGAGTGTCTGTCCTCGAGGCAGTACTTGTCAACCTCCATTTTCCCACATATATCCAGTTAATTCTGTAAGTTTGAATTATAAGCAAGCGACCACCGTTTTACGCATCACATGAGTTTTAATCTCATTTCATTAAACAATGTTATCAGTTGTGTACGTGGTGATGTAACTAGTGATTTTAAAGCTCGTCTTAAAAATAGTGTATATATATATATATATATATATATATATATATGTGTGTGTGTGTGTATGTATATATATATATATATATATGTATATATATATATATGTTTGTGTGTGATAAAGAAAATAATTAATTACTCAACATATTATAAATTTCTAATCGATTATATCATGACTAAATAAGTATTTTCCTTATTATTTATATTCCTCTATACATAAATTTATGCACTGAGATTTCATCACGGTGTCACCTTTGTAATAAGTTTGTATTGAAAAAAAAATCATTCGAATATACATGATGTGAATATTAAGAGACTGTCAGACTCACTGCGTAGTGAAAATTTAGCGCATACATATATATATATATATATATATCATCACATACAAGGTTGTACAGCCACAAGTATCCAAGGGGATACAGGTTGTAGGGGAATTAACGAAAGAAATATCAGTCATGAGGAGATAAGACCAATCAGAAGGACTGTAGATAGCGATTGGTATTGCATTTAATTTTTTCTAGATTAAAGTTGGTTGGAAAGCATGGAGTCTGGAGTGATTTCCACAGGAGAGAAGTGTGGACGAAGAACCTGGTAGCATAGAAGTCACGAATACATCTAGTCAGCGCAACAGTAAATTGATGAGAGTATTTACAATAAAAAGACAGTGAACCAAACTTATATATATATATATATATGCCTTAGGAGGCACGGTGGAGTAATGGATAGCGGCTTGGATTGAGGAATCGGAGAGCCGAGTTTGAATTCCATTCGCATCCACTACATTCGCTTACGTCCTAATACCCTTGGGAAAGTTATGAATCCTCTTCTTCTCCCTCCACGTATGGGTAAATAGCAGGACAGACTGGGTTCTATAGCCTTAGATGGCAACTGGTCTAGGAGAAGGACAACTCTGAATTCAAAACCTGCGGCGGGTCATTTGTGGACCTTGTGGCACGCAGTGCACCAGGTCTCTGAATTCGGCCCTTCAAAAAGTGTGGATGGTCCTGCATGAAACCTTCACTATAATCAAATCTCATGTGTTGTTGTCTGTGTTAGTGAGTTAGTCCAAATGCCTTGACTCGCTTTATAGTCTACCAATAGAAGTTTAACCAATCAGAAGCCGCAGAACATTCTATCCGTCGTGTATAAAGGCGGCCATTTTTGTTTATCCTACCCGAATGACAAGTGCCAACTTGTCAGGCAAAGATGACAGAAGTAAGTACTACGCTCTGCTTCTTTGCTGCGATATCCACTGCTAACCTGAACTACGCTTTCCTACTGTTTCCGAAATATTCACTGCTAATTTCTGGATTCTATACTCGAAGACGACCGTCATAAGATGTCTCACACTCTGGCTGTCGGTTTCTTGAGAACTGATCTGCTTGACCCTCGTACGTCGAATTCGACGGGAGAGTCGACTATATATATATATATATATATATATATATATATATATATATATGTGTGTGTGTGTGTGTGTGAATATTAAAATAATACAGGCAACAATAATAAATAAATATGACTGTTAGTTTTTAGTTTTTCCTACCGCTTGTGCTGTTAGGCGTCGCCACAGTCGTCTTTCAGCGGCAAGGCGAGTGACCTGTAGGAGAGATATCTCGTGGGCTCTGAGTGTGTCTGCCACTGAGTCGCTCCAGCGTCTTCTTAGTCTGCCTCTCGCTCTTAAGCCAGAGTACCTGATGGTGTATGCTCGTAGGGCTGGTTGGTTGATAGGCATACGTGTGAAGTATCCCAACCACGCCGACGACCAGCCAATGAAGAATAACGACAGGATTCAACTGCAGGAACACACTGACCAACTCAAATGAAGCTGCTGGAAATACGACAGGATAATCAATTTCAGTAATTCCGAGCTCAAGATCGTCAGCAATTGACCAGAATAACTGGACATTAACAGCAAGGGGACCTAGCTAAATACAACCAACGAATTCAAGTATCTGGGCATCATGTTTCTTGAAAACGGCAAACTAGACAGAGTAATCAAGACCAGATGTCAGAAAGCCAACACAGTAAGTTACCAACTTGCACCTCTTTTAAACATCCTAGCATTTCCTTGAACACCAAGGCAAATCTTAAAAACGCCATTTTTTTTCGATGTTAAATATTCTCTATATGAGACATTCTCGTTATTGTCTGTTAGTGACCCAAACACTTGAGACGAAACTGATCACTTCTGAGATGAAATGCCTGAGGAATATCTGTTAGGTCCATGACTAAAATCTATTCTGGCTTCGATTATTCATTTTTTAATCAATGTTCTAGGCCAGCATATGGAAATAATTAAGACGAGGAAGAAAAGGCGCCCTTACTTATAAATATGCTTATTATCTGATAGACGTACACTTACAAAGTTTGATTTATTGCGTTGATAATTTATCAGTCTTCATTTTAAGTTAAGTGTGATAGATATGGTGTATCAATATTTTAGTAACTTTTATTTCTAGATAATTGCCACAAGTAAAGTGATGTATTTTCAGATCAATTGTATCAAAGATCATTTCAGAGAATGAGTTAGATGATAAACTATTTCAAATGCAGCATCTCTTTTTTTTTCCAAGAGAACTTTCGAGATTGATCATCTCACAGATTGCTTTCCTTCATATTTTTTTCGTCTGTCGCTTTCGTTTCCTTAACTTGTGTTCGTCAAACTTTCTCGTGCCAAAGATTCCACCCTTTGACTATCTCAGTCGGTCTCAGTGACTTCAAAGAAGATGGAAAGACGATGAATACTTCTTTAACCGACAGTAGATTTGCTTTTTTCTGTTAGCTTAAATTGTTATTTTGATACTGAGGTACTGTCTACATTTATCTAATCACATAATTGTACATGGGCATGTAATGTATAATTCATTCGAAAATTATGACATAAATATGTAATAAAATCACTAAAAAAATAGCCATTTTGTTTCAATCTTTTTGGTGTCTTATCAAGCGATGGTTACACCAGAACTGGTGAAACAAAATTACTATTGTAGCGATTTAAGACATGTTTATGTTATAATTTTTGAATAAATCATATTTGCTCTACTCTGTCTTGAGCAGTCTTTGAAGAATAGTGTTTTTGGTTATTGGAATTTATTCCGTATATACCAATCCTATACTTGGGTATATATATATATATATATATATATTATATATTTATATATACAGTTTATAATACAGTAAGTGTATCACTGTAGGTATGTGTAGTATTAAGTTTTGTTTTCTATTATTGATAACTATAATGATAACAATTGAAATGCAATGGTACGTCCTAATGAACATTTCCTTGTTAATGATGCTTGAATTCGCATAAATGTGAGATACAGTTTCATCAAAAGATGATAACAAGTTTAATAGTTTAATAGTATTTTCATCGAAATTCGTTCTGATTTCATATCAATAGAATTTTTCACGTGACATTTGAATGTGTCCATATCAAATTTAGAGATTTGACAATAAATCGACAAGAAGCGACACGCCGAAACCAATTGTGTACTTTCCGTGTTCGTAAGTACGATAGAAATGAAGTAAACCCACCTTTGAAATTTGATGCATTTGTATTCGTTAACTTAGCGCGCGGGGAGTTAATTCATTTAGATCGTGGAATTAAATATGGAGCTGCAACTTTTAGCTTAACTGTATTTCATTTATTTATTTATTTGGTTATGCTTAAATTCCAGCCAACCAAAGAACAAAAACTGTTATTATTATTATTTTTTTTTTTTTTTGAATTTGAATAAAATCCCAATCGTCTTCTATATGCCGTGTCTCTTAACGATGTGGAGGTATCATGACTCTCCACAACTATCTTTTGTAGTATTTGTCTATATCACAGATGAGGAATTATGATCATTTATATTATTTACATTTTCCGGACTCTTATGCATATCTTCATTGCAACACTGACTATTTTTCGGACGTTGTACTCTCCAGCCTTCTTCAGGTGACTGGAATTTCGAACCGACCCCTTTATTCCGTCCGCCAGGGTAAACTGTTCTCAGTTATTTCCATTTAATTCAATTCTGTGAGTTCAGTGCCAGACTACATCAATGGTTAAATAAAAAATAAAAGAGAATTCAGTTAAAGGGATATAGTAGAGACATCAATAAGAGGCATGGAAAGTGGAACTAGAAAATTCTATCCAGGAAGACGAAATAAAGATTTGGTTCGAAATTCCAATTACCTGCAGAAGGCTGGAACATACAACGGCCGAAACTTTGCGAATATGGCAATGGAGATGTGTATAATAATACGAATATTTTTTGAAGGACTTAGCAAGATATTTTTTTAGTTATCTCTCCCTGTTCTGCCATGTATTTAAATGAGCTTGTTGCTTAGACTACAGGATGCTTTCCTGTTTCATCTCCTCCGGATCTTTTTTCTTCACAGTGTCCTAGAGATTTTACCAGTATTTTTATGACGCTAATTAATTATAAGCGTCTTTCTCGTTTCACAACTCCCTAAAACATTTAATAAATCCATGACATGAGAATTATTCTGATATACTTTTCACGCTGGAATTAATTTAGTAACTTCAGACTTCTTCTTGGTATTTTTCGTTGTTTTGTTTTTAAATTTATGAAAATTGGAAAAATATTTTTATAAATAATATAAGTTATCGATGCAGTATACAGTACAAGTGGCCTCAAAACAACGATTGCTTGCAACAAAATATTTTTGTGTTTTTTATTTGCCTGTTACTAAATGAAAATTTGCCTAATCTTTCATGTTCAGTTTATTTAACAGGCGTCATGATCTTGTATTAAAATCATGTTTGTACGATACCTGGAAAATATTATGTTGATGGAAGGAAATGAGATTAAAATATTTAATTTATTACTATTCATAAACTATTTAACTCGTGGAATAAACATTTCGCAATCACCAGAAATTGAATCCAGAGATTCAGATTGAAAAATGCAGCACAATAACCCTAGTGTTGACTGCATTTGTTATAGGGAATGATACTTCCAATTTATCATTGGCGCATGCGCCAAATTTTCCAGGAACATGCTGTTTGACAGCGTGTAATGCAGTATCGCAGAGGGAAATGAGCTTGTTCTAATGTCAACATACCGGCTGGAAAATAACACGAACCTGGAATGAAAGAAAAACAAGCAGCACAAAGCAGTTTCAAAGAGATCGTTGGCGAGGCTTACTTCAAATTAACCTAAATATACTTCAGCAGAAATATGCTGGCTGTAACGAGTATTTTTCCCTCAAATGACATGAGTAAAGCGTTAAGAGAATTGAAATCACAATAGGCGATGTGGAGTGTCGGTGTGGCGAGGGCAATGATGTACGTATGCGCAAAAATAAAATAAAGCAGAATGAAGAATCCCGTGAGGAGACGAGCAAGAAGACTGGGAGTACACAAACATGAAAAATGTGATGGCGAAGAAGGAGGAAAACAATTACGAGATAAAGTAAGAAGTGAACAAAAGAAGATAGACGCTAATATTCGAGGGGCAGATGCAACGAATAGAACAAAGAAACAATTTTTAGAAAGCAAAACAAAAAAACAACTTATATATAAGTGGAAAAATACCGTAGTACCTACTCGTGAAAACGCAACAGAAATTCCTAAAAGTGGGAGGAAGTCTTCGAAGAGTAGAGGTAGGAGGCGCAAAAAGGGAATATGATAAATAAAAAAATGTCCGAGAGTTTATGAAAAAGAGGTTAAAGGAAATTGATAAAATGGCACGGAGAACAATATTTAAGTTATCTCACTGAATGTCAAGGATGAAGAGTTACTATTATTTACATTTCACTAATAAAGAAAGAAAAAATGAGAGTAGGTATTCAACAAGAACAGCAGCAGCTCTAACAAATCAAAAAGCTTAGAAAATCCCTATAGATAATTACCAGTCAACAGATTTAGTGGACTAAAAGCCTAGTTCGTGAAATTAATGTTAGAGTAATTGTGAGCTAATTCCCAAACCGTACATCATAAATAAGTTACACATATAATATATAAATAAATAATATTTAGAAATTTTTCGTTTAAATGAAAACACTGGCAAAACAATAAAATTATAATGTTTGCTAAGTATTAGAAATAGAATGAACGAATCGAAATAATTGGCCAAAATAGATGTAAATTAGTTTCATGTAAGAGCAGGTGCTAAAATATTTTCGGCCAATGCCAATTCATAAATATCTAAAGACATAACAAAGAATCAAATTATTTTACGTATCACAATTTTATGTCCACCTGAATTTTCCGCCAAAGCCGTGCGCATGCGCGTTTGTATTTCACAATGCACACTCATGAATCAAGACGCCTGGCATCTCACAAAATAGATATGCTTTTAGAAATTGTCCACATTTAATGCGCATACACGTTAATACACAAAATATTAACATTTCTTAACTAATTGTAAAGATCTATATTATATTCAAATTTTTAATTAAAAATCAAGAAAAGACAGATTACGCATTTACAGATTAAAACAAGCCAACAATTCCGCGCATACTATTTCTTCTGAAAATATTTTTTCTCAAATACAGACTGGAGATTCCCCAAATGGTTATATGAATTTCCCGAAATGTGTTCTTGAGCATAGTTTTGTTGTAGAGGCTTCCACAACCGAATCGTTAAAGCACGCTTGTCGTATATTTGTTTCACACACACACACACACACTATATATATATATATATATATATATATATATATATATATATATATATCTGAATGATAATTCCAACATTTTTAGGCATTGAAACATGTCTGGCCGCATACACAATTCCGGAAAATCCTTGTTATACTTAAGCATGAAAACAAACAAAAACTAAAAATTCTTGAAGCCAAATACATAAAACAGATGAAACCTAACCTGAAAAAAAATAGCTATGAAAACTCCACAAATATACTTAAATGCCTATAATTAATGACAGTAGCGATTGGTTTATACCAACGGCTTCCTATATTTAACATTTTTGATTTTCGCTCTCGCGTAGTCATATGTGATGTCATGGGCCGCGGTAAGATTTTCGCTTCCAGCGGCTTGGATGCACGAGTTTGTCGTTGCTAGGAAATCTTCCATGCAAATAAAACAGACTGTCATTGTTGCTAAGTCAGTGTACTGTTTAATTTATTGTAATGTACTTGTTATCTCTGATGATGGGTTATGCAAATCGAAAGCTTTGATAGGATTAAAAACATGTATCAATATGTTGATTTTCTTTCGTCTTTCAATGATAATTATAGTAAGTTTATGGGACGATATGAAAGAAATTTGCTTAAAACAAATAGAAAAAAAACTTGTCTATATTATTCAATGAAACATGTTAAATGAAAAAATACTGCCTAAATACACACACAATATATATATAATGAGTGTGTTTGTATGTGCGAAATTATCATTGATCTGTAAGAAATAAAGATCAGACTAATAATATATAACAATAAATTACTCTCGACATATTTCAAGGTTTTCAATACACCTGTTAGATGTGACTATGGAATTTAGGTAGTGTTTTATGTTAGGCAAGCTTGAAAGTTAATGGAATATTTGGAAATTAGCCGAATGTTGTTGGAACGATTTTTTTTTGGCATTCGGCCACAATTGGATTTGCGTCACCTTTCTGTAAGTAATCACCTACAACACTAACATTTAGAGCATATAGGTGAGCAGGTTCTCGGCAAGCGGTTCTCTTCGTAGCATATTTTGAAGGATTTCAATTTTGAATCTTGGCCATTTCAAATCCAAACGGA